GTTTCCCGAACATGTCTTCAAACTCAAAAAGGCGCTTTACGGTCTCAAACAAGCACCTCGTGCTTGGTATGAACGGTTAAGCAAATTTCTTTTGGACCATGAGTTCAAACGGGGTCAAGTCGACACTACTCTTTTTATCAAGAAAGATAACCAAGACATCCTTTTGGTTCAAGTTTACGTAGATGATATCATATTCGGTGCTACTAACGAGGTTCTGTGCAGGGATTTTTCCGATATGATGCAAAGTGAATTTGAAATGTCAATGATGGGAGAATTAAAGTTCTTCCTTGGGCTGCAAATTAGACAATGCAAAGAAGGAACATCCGTGTGTCAAACGAAATATTGCAGGGAATTGCTTAAAAGATTCGATGTTACCGAATCCAAATCCATCGACACAACAATGAGCACCTCTTGCTATCTCGACAAGGACGAAAAAGGTAAAGAGGTAGACTTCAAGCGCTACCGAGTTATGATCGGCTCTTTACTTTATCTTACCGCGAGTAGACCGTATATCATGTACTCCGTTTGTATATGCGCTAGGTATCAATCATGTCCTAAAGAGTCGCACTTGGTTGCGATCAAAAGGATAATGTGATATCTCGCGGGCACGTTGAATGTAAGTCTTTGGTATCCCAAAGGTTCAACATGTCATCTTGTTGGCTATTCCGACTCGGATTTTGCAGGTTGCAAAGGCGATAGGAAAAGTACCAGCAGTACTTGCCACTTATTCGGTCATTCGTTAATCTCGTGGTTTAGTAAGAAGCAGGTTAGTGTTGCAATTTCCACCACCGAAGCGAAATATGTCGCTGCGGGAAGTTGTTGTGCCCAAATTCTTTGGCTAAAACAACTAGTGGATTTCGGCCTTATACTTGATCACATCCCTATTAGGTGTGACAATATGAGCGCTATTAGTCTAACGAAGAACCCCGTTTTGCACTCGAGGACTAAACACATAGAAATTAGGCATCACTTCATACGAGATCACGTCTAAAAGGGAGATATCACAATTGAGTTTGTTGAAACGAAACATCAATTGGCGGACATTTTCACGAAACCCCTTAGTAGGGAGAGTTTCTTCCACATTCAGAACGAACTTGGAATTTTGGATATCTCTATGAAATAATTCATTCTTTTTATTGACTATACTAATTTCAGCGTCGGAGGCGCGATAAATTCTTTTTTGCAGGGCTTTTATTGCAGGTATCTCTTCCCTTGGTATTCAACCGAGTTGGACTTGATGATTTTTTTGTCAAACAAGTTTTAATCGATTACTCCTCGAAGAGAAATCGATTAGTCGCCTCTGTCCCTCTTAATCGATTACTGGCCTTTTGTTAATCGATTAAAATCCTTCAAGGAAACCTTCTTGAGATCTGCTTCACTTTTAATCGATTAATCCCTTTACATTAATCGATTAGACTCATCTGTCCATCTTAATCGATTAACCATCTTTGTTTAATCGCTTAATAGCCTGAAGCGCAAACGTCTTTGGTTCTACTCCACTTCTAATCGATTAATTAGTTTAATTTAATCGATTTGCCTCGGCTGTGTTCCTTAATCGATTAAATACCCTTTTTTATTCGATTAATATTCGATTATTGCTTCCTTTATAATCAGCCAGTCTTCGTCTTCTTCGCCATTCTCTTTTTACAGAACTAGAGATAGGCAAAACCCTAGCCCCCTCCTTCGATCTCCTCTGCCTATTTCTTCAACAATATCTTAAATTTTTCTCACCAAAATTCATCAAATTCAAAGAGGAAGGATGCCCAGTTGCAAGAACGCTTCATCACGTCAAGAATCGGCGGCAGAAGAAGGTGAGAGGCCATGGCGTCGTGAAGGGAGCAAGTCCATTCACATCCAAACCGGACTCGCCTTCAACACTGGGGCTTCAGCCAAGAGGATCCACAACATCTTTCTCACGAAGGAGATCGTCTCACCTAAGATCGTGAACAATGACCTCTTCAAATCGGCGACCTATGCCCCAAGTAAGTCTCTTTTCTCTCAGCAAGGATTACTTTGTTTCATCCATTTGACGTATGAATTCTTTTTTCCAAATCTTATACGTCAATTTTATGCAAATATTTCGTACCACTAAGGGAGACTCACCATCTCTCATTTCCTATGTTGACGGCAAAACCGTTTTCATTGACGGTGCCGGTTTGACTTCTCTGTTTGGCCTTCGTCGAGGTGAAATTACTGAAAACTTGGATGAAACATTCCAAGATGAGGCAATTTGGCGACAACTGGGGTTAGATCATCGTGACCTCAAGTTTAGAAATTCTAGCAACCCGAGTGTCATTAATCTCACTTTAATTCAACGTGTCCAACAATACATCTTTTCTTATGTTTTGTTGCCCCGTGATTCGAACCATGGCGTTGTCAACAAGGACGATATTCGTTTGTTTCACGTCCTGTTGAACAATGTCAAATTTGATTGGGTTCACTTCTTTATCGTTGCACTTAGCGATGACACTCGTTTTTCCCATCTCCGTTTTGCCATCCCCATCATGCATATCCTTTCTCGTTGCAAAATAGACTTTACTCGGGACACTCAGGTGCCGGTCAAGAAAACTTGTTTCATCACTGAAGCCAAGTTTTCCCGGATCGTGTACCGTGAGGAGGGCGATGCTGCACCAAATCTGGACCTGATAGTCGCCGACGAAGAAGAGAGCCAAAATGAGACTCAAGCTGAGTCATCTCGTGCCAGAGGAAGTCGAGCCACGGAGCACGTCGCTCGTTAACGCAGGACTTGTCCAAGAGAAGAAGCACCGAAACCTTCTTGGGTGAAGAGGATCTTCGATACTCTCACGTGCATCCGAGATAACGTTCGCCAGCTCAACGAGAGGATTACTCGTTTTGAGCAATCCCGCTCCTACCGTGGCCCGCGTCACAGCTTTAGCGGAGGAGCTCGTCCGGCAAACTCTCTTTGATTATACTCCTTCTATCTTGACTTATTATGATACTTTGTTATTTGCTATTGTTATTGTTATGACTCTTTTGATGAATGATTATGTTGCTAATTATGTATTTGTGTGTTTCGCAATGTAGTTCTCCTTTAGAACACATTGTCCCTTTGTGGCATTCCTGTTAGAAGTTTTTTTTAAGAAAATTTCTTGCAAATTTATCCTTCAATATCCCGACATTGATTAAAGGGGAAGGTTATCGGTTCATAATGCCAAAAGGGGGAAGGAAGGATAGTTGAGAAAAAAAACTTTTTCTTAAAAACGTTTTTGGAAGGATAGTTGAGAATTTTTTTTCTCTTAAAAACGTTTTTCCGCTTTTTACTCTGATATTTTTCACTTCTCTAACCTTGCAGGGGGAATTATTCTTAAAAGGAGTAATTTTTGAACTCTTACTTTGCTCTCTCTCAACTATGTTTGTCATTATCAAAAAAGGGGAAATTGTTGGACATGAGTTCAAACCTCTTTACTATTTCTTCTGAAATATTTTTTTGTTTTGATGAATGACAAACAGGATGATTAAATTCAAGCTGATCGAAAATTTATTTTCGTATCGAGAAAAACAAAGAGGCGTATCAAGATAAAATCAAGGCTTACCCCTACGCAGAAATTTTTTGAAGTGAAGTGAAGATTCCGAAGACCTTTTATTTTTTTTATTGAGTCTAGGAATTTTGTAAGGATGACAATACTTTTTGCACAAACAAATTAATTTTGAGGGATAAGAATTATTATTTTCTGAGTCAATTGAAAAATTATTTTTTCTCTGTCTAAAAATATTTTACTGAGTCAGTTTCAAAATAGTGTGTCAAAATTTCTTAAAAATATTTTTTTTGGATACACAATTTTCTTTTGGTAAGAAAAATATACTTTAAATATTTTTCGTATAAATCGTTTGACACAGAAAATAATTTTTGGACTCACTTTTTCTCCCCTATTTAAAATTCATTGAATAAGGGATACTTTCTCTTGAGGAGCGTTCTTGTCTCAAACAAACGAGTATAAGCCAATTCACTTCTTATCGCAACTGGCTTGGGCCCTTTGTGTTGCGCATTATTTCCTCCATAATTGATTATCTTCCTTCATATAATCGATTAATAGGCTTTACGTTGGATTCCCCTGGTCTGACCAATAATCGATTTGTTGTCTTCAATTAATCGATTAGTTCGGACAGAGCCGACTAATCGATTTTTAGGCCTTCCTTTAATCGATTATTTCTGTTCTTGTATTCAGAATTTTTCGCCTCTGTGTACCGTAATCGATTTAACTATCTACGTTAATCGATTAATTTTATCTGGTGCATATCCTCAGCTTACTCCAACGGTTCTTTTTTTTCTCAGCCTATTTAATCCCTCATTCTCCTTCATTTTAAGATACAACTCTTGCACTCCAACATCTTCATTGAGCTATATTCATTTCTTGCTTCCATCTTCCTCATCAAATATATTATTTTGAGAGTTAGAAATATTTTATTGAGTGCTAAAGATTTTGTCATCCATAGAGCTTTAATTCTTCAACACTACTTTGCTCAATTGTGTGAGCTTTCATTCTTGTGTTGTAAACTCAATCTCATTTGAGTGTTGTTCTAAAGACTTGTGTGACTCAAGTCTTGTTGTTGTAAGAAAGTGAGGCTTGTGTGATTCAAGTTCTCAAGTTGTACCGGTTTTTCAAGCACCCGTTGAAGCTTGAAGATTAGTAGGACTTTCGAGAGAGTCTCTCGGAGGACTGGACTAGCCACGAGGTGGTGAACCAGTATAAATCTCGGTGTTCTTCTTTCCCTTACTCTCTTTATTTATTCCTGCGATTTTATTATTTCACACACGCGAAAAATGCACATTCTTGAAAACAACTCTATTCACCCCCCTCTCTAGAGTTACACATTTGTCTAACAATATCATGCACACAATGTTCATAACACACATTCACAGTTTTGGTATTGTTCAGTTCATATCAACACATTTTATTCAATTCAGATACTATTTCAATAGTGCTCTTAAAATATTCTTAATCTAAGTTCAGATCATAACAACGCTCTTAGCTATTCTTAATCTAAGGCCAAAACATAATTTCCACAACCACATTCTTAAAAGGCAATTATTAATAAGACACTTAAACTATCATAAGTTTAAGGCAATTGATTTCGGACACTTAACTGTAGTCAGTTAAGGCAACAACAATATAGCGATTGATCAACATTGGATCGGGTATTCCCAAACGAGTAATCCTCTAGCTTGGTCTATGAATCCCGTTTATGCATTTTTATCTAATTCATCGAATATTCATGTTTTACAAATCTATACTAATATGAGATGTAACACCCCGGCCCCCACCCTAGCCGTAAGTGTCCGCTCATAGGATTGTCGACTGGCCCCACAAACCAACACACGTCTTCCCCGCGCACTTTGTCCTCACTCATGCGCGCCCAAGGAAAGTTCACAGGGGGTCACCCATCCTAAAATTGCTCCAGGTCTAGCACGCTTAACCTTAGAGTTTCTAGGTGATGAGCTCTCGAAAAGAAGATGCACCTTGTTGGTATGAGTAGTACTATCAATCCTTTTGAGCTCTTCCCATTCCCATCTTCATACGGGGTATTACATTCACCCCCACTTAGGAATGCAACGTCCTCGTTGCATCTTTTTTGTTTTTAACCCATAGATCTTCCCCGCTAGGTGAACTAAGCTCTCTTGGCCCGTCGCGGTCGCAGGGTTACTCTGATACCAAAATGTAACACCCCAACCCGCATAACCCAAACCCGTGAGACAGCGGACCGGTGTGCCACTGGATTGGTATCCGAATATACAACATTTTCAAAACAATTTTAAACAAACGTTCTATCAATACATATAAAAATCCATCGGAGTAATTTAAAACAATGTGGAAGCCTTTTTAAAGTCAAACAATTTGGGATCTTGCCCGAAAACGTAATAAGCATTAAAGTTAATTAAATAAAGCATAATCAACAGATTTAAGAGACAGCCACGCCATCGTACATCTCCTCCTCAATGCCCTCTGGGATCGGCTCTAGGTTCATCTGTCTGATCACCTACGGACAGCAAAAAGGAAAACAACGCTATCCGCTCAGCATTGACGCTGAGTGGCACTCCATTGTAGCTCAAGAATAAACATAATATTTCAACAATTGAGATCGTGCATATGTTTATTCTTTTGATAAAAATCAATTCAACTTTAAATTCGGTTCTTTAGACGGTTGACCAATAGTCAACTTATTTTCTTTCTTTTCAAAACGATTTAGGTGTTACGGGTTTCTCATTAACTCTTTGACCACCGGTCAAACCAATTTAGACTTTCACCAAGTCAAACCACTTAACATTTAATGCCTATGACGAAGATAGCGTCAATCCATAATACTGAAGATAGCCTCAATTCGGTGGAGGTAGGATCCCTCGGGCGATAGCCTCAAACCGAAGATCACAGACCCTCGTGCGCACGTCTTAACCTCACTGACCAGGCCCTGCAGCCGCCCGAGCAATGGCCAGTTTCTATGTTCGACACAATAAACCAATTGACCTTAATCACCGATTAGAATTAATTAATTAACTTAACTAATTCATTAAAGTCTTGGATTTAACCATTCGGTCAAACATACGTCGACAGAATATCCAGTCAAAGCCTAAGTCAAACGTGACCTAACCCGAGTCAAAGTCAAACCGGTTCAGTCAATTCACCATCCTCAACAATTCAATTCAAATAATCAATTTAATTCAATTAACCAATTTAGCCAGATTATAGCATAAACACATATAACGATCCAAACCATTAAATCTATTCTAAATGCTATTAACTTCATAGTACGGACCTGGATTACGCCGAAATCGAATCGATAGCTCCAAAGGAGGACAAATCAACGAAATTAAACGAACGGGTCAAATTGAGTCAAAATACGAAATCGACCAATCAATCCGGCGTGGAGGTTAATCTGCCGGCGATATCAACTCGGGGCAGCGGCTGGATGCGGCGACGGTGACGGACGCCGGCGACAGTGGCGTAGCGGCAGCTCGATGGCGATGAGCAGCGGACTTCCGGCGAAGGCGAAACAACGGCGATTGGAGACCGTCAACGGCGGCGCTGACCCTGGCAGTGGAGGCGTCGTCCAATGGTGAGGCGCGGCGGCGCTGGACTCGACGGCGATGATGGCGGCGGCTACTGGCGAAGGAAAGGCAGCGGCGTTGGAGGCGAAGGTCGGACGGCAGGGAGGACGACTAGCGGCTGGCTGCTGCAATTGGACGGCGATCGAAGACCGACGCTTGAAAAGCGGCGGCTGTTGAAGACGAAGAAGAAAGGAGAAGAAGAAGAAGAAGAAGAAGAAGAAGAAGGAGGAGGAGGAGAAGGAGAAGAAGAAGAACGAAAGAAGAAGGAAGAGATAAGGATCGTGTGGCTGAAGTTTAGGATTAGGTTTATTTAATGGTCCCATTCCTAAAAGGATTGGGCTTCGGACCTAAAATACCTGATTAAATGGTCATAACATGAGCTCCATAACTCCGATTCGCGAGCCGTATGAACCGACGCGATCACAAAAATATTTCCTACGAGATGACATAAAAGTTGGGCTTAGAATCCAAATTATAATTTTAACCCCTTTTTTGGCCCAATTCGTAATCAATTGCTCTAACAATTTAATTAATTCTTTTGGGCCAGATTTCGGGGCGTTACATTTCTCCCCCCC